GCAGCTTTCAGAGTTGGATGTTTTTCATTAGATCTATAGCTCGTCTTTAAAGGAATAATAGTTTGTTTCACAGGTCGTTAACAACAAATACATTTCTTTTTCAAGTCATTTACGTCTTCATTTGGCTCTCCGACACCGTATGGCCTCAAAGAAATGATGGTTTTCCACCTGTTTCCACTTTAAATCAATTGGTTTCAACTGATTTCTTCAATTAAGTTTATGTTCTCACTTCCTCAGAAACTAAAAACTTTCCTTTTTCACTAATTCTCTCACTTCCAGACAGTTTCACTCTGTGAAGACTTTTTTAATCTTTTGAAAAATGTTATTTTTGAATAGAGTCGAATCAACAATGACAGATAAATTATTGTAAATTCACTCAAGCGCTGGTCGTATCCAGCAATGCATTGTGGGCCTTTGGAGATCGGCATTAGTATTCAACATGTAGCCCACAGTACAGCCCAGGTTACAGCAATGCTGGACGGAGGAGTGAAGGCTGTGGTTGGACCAGTCACACTGTTGTAGTCAGACTGGTCCAACATGGTCCAACATGGTCCAACATGGTCCAACATGGTCCAACATGGTCCAAACATGGTCCAACATGGTCCAACATGGTCCAACATGGTCCACCTGGTGTCCAGGACGGACGCCACATTGTCACGGCCAAGTCAACATTTAGTCCAATTTGTGGAGAGTATGGTCTAGGTTTGGTGGATGTGGACTAGATGTACTGTTTCTGGCCCACATTAAGTGTCTAAAGATTGGGCCACATTTACCGTGATGGAGTAACTGAAGTGGTTACTGGTTTGGCCGATGTCTTTGACTTTCAACCAGGACTATGGTGTGGTACCTGGTGTGGAATCTGGTGTAGTACCTGGTGTAGTACTTGGTGTAGTACCTGGTCTGGTACCTACCCCACGGTGTGGTACCTACCCCACCTTTAATGAAGTCTTTAGCCTCTGCTAACCGCTGCTCCTTATTTCCTGTCTGCAGGTCAGTGTTTCTACAACACGACCAAATCTTTTCGTGTCCCTTCGGCTTTAAAGGACCAAAGGTCCCAGTGTTAATAGAAATAACATCACTATCTTCCACCACAGCCGTATTTTATTTAATTTTTTTAGCATTTTGCCACAGTAGAAGGTCAGTGGTATTGACGTGCCCCCGGCCACAGCAAACACACATGTGGCTTCCTTTTCTCACCCACTGACACTTTAATTGTATTTTCAATACAAATTGATCACGGGGCCGTCGTGGAAACACGTCCAGCTGACACATTGATCTCACAGAGGGCTCTTTCTCCTGCTCTTCCTCTTAATTTGAGTGGAAAGGCAGCAGTAAAACTCCCTCAGCAGCCTGGTAGGCGACCAGGAGGCAGGCGGGGTCGCGGGGGTCACTGTGGCAGACGGAGCCGAGGTTCGATGCTATGATCTGTCCCGGTTTCTAATATCCTTCAGAGAAGAGAAGAGGAACTCTTCAGGAGCCAGAAGATCTCTCTGTTTCCATAGAAATGACAGGCGGCGTGGCGTTCTCAGCTCTGTCTCTCTGGCATCTCCGCCCTGGAAAAAAAAAAAAAAAAAGGATGGGACTCAACAGTTATTAAGTGAATTGTGGTGGCGGCAGAGATAGACAGCTTGATAGACAATCATAGAAAAGAACATTGGGCCTGTAACAGCGGGGGAAAGATAATAATTTTCAAGTGGATTGTTTTCAGCCAACTGAGCCTCTGTTTGGGAGCAGGAACTGTAAAGCGGAACAGAACACAAATAAAATGCTGCGAGAGATTCTGGTTAGACAGAACGAGAGGGGAAAAAGAGGAGGAGAAGAAGAAAATAGACAAATATAATGAAACACACACAGAATTCAAGGAGGTGAATGAAAACATTCTCTGAGAGAAACGTCGTGTTTCTTTATTTACGCAGTCTTTAAGCTACCGGCTAACTAGCCATGTTATTGTTTTTTAGGTGACCTTCTACCAAGGTATAAATCTTAAATAAATATTTGGTAAATATTTCAGTCCAGATTAAATTTTTTTGTCTTTTCAGGCTACAATGATGAAGAAACTGTTTTCAGATAAATCTTAAAATCTTTTTTTTTTCTCCTTTAATTTACTTCTTTGCTTATTTAGCGCTCTGTTTTTAGACAAACTCTTATTTTAGCTCTGTAGCACGTCACTGTCCTCTTTAAGACTGAATATACCCTTGTATTCCACAGGAGCGTTAGCAGCTCCGTAGGCTACGCTGCTAACTTCTGTAGCTCCAGTCGTGTTTGTTCTCGTCTCTTCTCTTCACTCCAGTCCGCACGAGCAGCAGCTTAGCATCCTCTGACATTTTAATTCCCACTCCAAATCCCCCACCCACAACACATTTATCTCAGAACTCATCTACAGCCTGTCCAGTCATTTCCACTGCTTTAATAACCAAGGACATGGTAATAATTGCTGCGGGGGAGTAAAGGGCAAAGAGAAGGGCACGTGCTCACAACAACATGTCAAGAAGAGAGGCAGACGGACGCTGGGACTGACTGCAGTTCTGCTGCTTCAAAAGAAATACATTTTTATTATTTTAGATCATTTGTTATCAAGCATTTCTACAGAGAAAACAAGTGATTTGGGCTCTTTTAACCCTGCTGGTCTACCGCTGCCCCTTGTGGTTGTTTTGTGTGAAGCCAGAAAAAAAGACTTTAAAAGACAAGTCACAAAATGAGGGGTTTGAACTTCCATTAGATGTCAGCAGAGGATGAACAACAACTGTGTGAATGTTGTTATAAATTCATGTCAATTTTCACCTCACAGAGTTTTCTCCTCCTGTTGTTTTTTCTGTGCAACATTAAGCAAATGTGAAGGTTTTCACAGACCAGAGTTTGAGTCACGTTGTTCTCCAACTGTTAGTCATAATGCTGTGGTGAAGTTCACAACGTGGACATGATTCAAGCTGTTGTTTCTCATGACTAATTGTGGCTGATTTCTTCTTCCTGCAGCTTCATTCTGACGGTGACCGTGGAGACGGAAGCATCAAGTACGTCCTCACCGGTGAAGGAGCCGGAACTCTCTTCAAGATTGATGAAAAGTCGGGCGACATCCACGCCACCAAGAGGCTGGACCGGGAGGAGAAGGCCTACTACATCCTGCACGCTAAAGCCGTGAATCGCTTAACCAACGTGGCTCTAGAGGGCGACTCTGAGTTCATCATCAAGATCCACGACATCAACGACAACGAGCCGCGCTTCACCAAAGACGTGTATCTGGCCCAGGTCCCGGAAATGTCCGAAATTGGTGAGTTTGTGTTCATGTGTACCCAGACCAACAGACCCTGACCAGGGTTTACAAGACCATGACCCGACAGGATCCAGACCAAGGTGTACCAGGACAAGTTCAAGACTAGGCTAAAGTGTTGGTCCACGACCCAGGGGTCTAGGGTTTAGAAATAAACTGAAATCCATTTTTCAGAATCAAAAGGAACATTTTTTTTCCCAGAAAATATTCTTCACACTTTTGTCTGATTTTTATTTTTTTTTCTTCTTTTCCCAAAGAAATTTCTTCCACAAAATTAAATAAATATGAAGTAACAAAAATAGAACCAAATTAATAATTGGGAACGCGCCATGTTAGCGGAGTGTTTACAGCCGGTGCAGAAGAGAGGAGTGTTGTCAACATGTTGAAATTCTATTTATGGATCGTAGAGAACGTAGAGGATAATTAAGAGGCGACGCAAATTATAAGGTGTGTTTGTGTGAGGAGCGGGATTAAAAGGTTTTTGTCATTCAAACGCGATAGAGATGCCAGTGTGAGCCGATCAATGGGACTTTATCAATCATAATAACGACGCTGCGCCACAAAGAGCCGGGGTCTGGCTAATTAAACGAGAAAGACGGGGAGTTGTTTTACGAGCGGGAAAATAAACAAGGTGGAGCGTCTTTGTGTGACGGTTCCAGTGAGTGAAGCAGATAATCTTTTAAATACTGTATTGTATCTTATTAAAACAGCATTTAATTTAATTACCAACACTGTCAGCGCCGTCAGCCGCGCCGGTGAATTAATGCTGATGCTATTTCTGGTTCCCCGTACCGCGGCGCGTGCTGTTGTGAAACGTTATCGTTTGTTCTCTTTAATTCAGCACCAAATTAAAGTTTAATTCCTCTGTGCACTCTGGCTCCGGCTCCAGGTCTGAGAGTGCACACGGCGGCCTCATGAATATAGATAAACGGTATAAAAACAGACTCCTGATCGATACTGAGGGAGAAGGAAGCGCGAGGCCGAGGCGTCGTCTGTGCAGCTGCAGGGACTGGAGTGACGACATGTGACATACGAGCTGTCACTCACTCCAGAAACCCCCAGGAGTGAGGCCCCTACTTATCTAAGGGCAGCAGCGGTGACCATGGTAACGGCCCAGGTGTGATGTCATCGCTTGGCAGAGCGTGTGTTCAGGAGTGACTGCGTCAAAAGAACGAGAGACGAAGACGTTCATTCAGGAGTCCTCCTCTCCTGACCCCGCCCCACACATTGGACTCCGGAGTCCACATGAACTATGTGACAGGCCTACGTCAAGTACTAAACACGTGGCCCACGTCTGATACTGGGTTTGTCCTCCACGTTTAACCACAGCAGCAGGGGGCAGTACTTTACTGGGTAATGGGGGGGGGGGGGGGGTTAACTCAACACACCACTGCCCTGCTTGTCATGGGATTTGAACTGGCAACCATCTGATTGCAAGCCTGATCTTGTTTCCTGAAGGCAACAACATTTAGTGTTTTTTTTTTTTTAATTTTAAAAATTTAAAACTGTTCTCTGACCCACATTTGGGCCTTTACTGACCTACATCTAGTTTCCAGGTGTCCAGAACGTGGGCCACATCTCAGATGAGAGATTCCAGAGAGGGTTATTGTCTGAGTATTCAGACAATGAAGTACTTACTCTGTTGTACTGCCTGTAAAAGTACACACAACTGTTAAAAACAAAACTCCGGCTAAGCTAAGAAAACTGCAACTGTCCACTGGATCTTCTGGTTTTATGCGGGGCCACGGAGTACTTGAAGTACACGAGGTACTAACACTTTGACCTGAGAGGAGTTTGGAAGGCCCCTAATTTGAACTTTCCCCCTCAGTTCTGAAGGATAATCGGATTTGGGATGAAAAGTAACGGCTTTAGTCTGAGTGCAGACGAGCTCATTTACTTTTCCTGCAGCGGATCTCTGACTTTGTTTGTGGGGCTGGGGTCCTAACACGCGGGAGTCAGTGAGGAGATGAGATGGCTGATGTGGATCAGTGACGTTCTCTGGAAAGCCGACGTGTCAGAAAAGCTTCTTTGACTCTAATTCCCCAGTTAAAGGTATTAGTGATCAAGGCTGGGTGAACCGGGGGAGAATCCTTCCCCGACTGTCACTTAGACCAGACCAGACCAGACCAGACAGCCGTGCTCTCCGTCACTCCGCCCTCCGCTGCTGCATCCTTCATCCATTATGAAACACGTTTGATTTTTTTGACGGCACAGAACACATTCAGCCGACACCAAATTAGAGAAGTTTCACGAGGTCGTTATTCTGTCACATCGCACAATTCTATATTTATACCCACGTTGCCATTAAATATTTCTACTCAATTAATTTTCTTCTGCATGTAATGAGGCAGCACTTGGCCCTGCGAGGGCGCCATTTGGGAGGTAACACTTGGCTAACCAACTTCTTTGTTCTGCTAAAGTCGGTCTTCAGTCTTTTCTGGAAGAAAGGGAAAATGGATCACACTTCTTTCTCCCCTGCTATCAGATGTTTGGCTCCTCAGACCCCACAGATACGGGCTGCACTAATAGGCTGCTCTGGGTTTTACAGTCAGCTGCTATCACTTTGCCTTAGAGAGATATAGTCCAGGAAAAATACGTTAGGACTGATCGATTGGCAGCAGAAATCAATCACGTGTGAGGCTGTAAGTGGCTGAGGAGTAAAGATCGGTGTGGGTGAGGGTGGAGGGGAGTGGGAGGGGGTGGGGGGGCGGACATCAGGGTTTGAAGAGTCAGAGCAGATCACCATCTTTTTACCTTCCTCCACAGGAACGTCGGTTATTCAGGTGACGGCAACTGACGCCGATGACGCCACCTATGGAAACAGTGCCAAAGTGGTGTACAGCATCGTGGAGGGACAGCCGTACTTCTCTGTGGACCCAGAAACAGGTCAGTGTGAAACCAGAGATCAGGGTTTGTTTGTTTTTTAATCCTCAGGTCAATGAAGACCTTCCCGGGACACACTTGGTATTCCTGACGCCGTGCTGCGGCTTTCCCTTTCAAGTTTAGACGGAAAATAAGACAAACTGCTATTTAAAGCTGGGGTAGGCGACACCGGTTTGTCAGCGTGAATCAATAATTTCATGAAAACCAGACGGCGTCATGAAGATCAGGTGATCTGAGGGGGGAAGACGACTCCTCCTGGTGGAGACCATGTGTCCAGCCTCAGGGTCTGTGGTCAGAACGCTGGTGTCCAAGATATGGGCCGTATCTTTAATCTGATCCATGCAGAAGAGGCCTGAGCCAAAGGCCACGCCTGTTGTTGTTCTTCAACAACAGTCCCATTTTGGTGAAGGGTTTTTTTTTTTCATAAGCTTTTCGTCTCCTGCGGGTGAAAACGGTGGACAGCTTCACCCCCGGTCCAGTTAGACTTCCAGGACAATCACATGTGTTATGACATTTTAACAATAAATTACAAATGAAACGCTCTCCTTCATTTAACCAGTGGAATCTGTGCCGGCACCTCCTGCCTTAGACCCCTGGGAGCTGGGGGACACTGTGGGGAGAGGGATTAGGTGAATTAGTGAATGGCTAACAGTGGAAATTTAGGGGCTTACTAGTTGTAATCATGAATGTAGTCTGTGGAACACATCCTGCATTTATTTTTTTACTTCAACAAAAGGGAAACGAGAGTAGAAAAAAGGAATCCATTTGCAGATTAGCAGAGGGATTAGCAGTAATATGGTTTATCCCACATGTGCTACGTAAGCTGACATTGTCTCTTCCACAAAGACAGGCCTGGACATCAACGCATTATGAGCCTCACTTGTTTTTTTTAATTCCTCCCTCTGTGTTTTTCTGTGCGAAGAAAAGAAGGAAGAGAGATTGAATGTAAATTATTTCTGAAGGTCCGACAGTCTGGAACCTGAGAAACACGTCCAGGTTTTGACTGGACCCACAGCACAACCTGGAAACCAAAAACGTTAGCATCACAGCGGCCGCACACACACTCGTGTTTCCAGCATCCCTGGGTCCAATTCTATTACATCGTTCTAGTCAACGTATACCTGATGTTATGCTGACATGACGTCATGTGTTTTTTTGCTAATTGAAGAATTGTACAAAGAAACATCAGTGACCACCTCCATACTCAGATGTTTTGTTTTTTTTGTTTCTCTTCTTTTCATATTTGACTCTGGTCCAGTGAACAGTAAAATCACAAGAGCAAATCTCCATAATGTGGCTGCAGCCACTGCGGCTGCTGCTGCTACCGCCACTGCTGCTAACGCTGTGCATACTGAGCAAGTGCACTGACCTTTTGGTTATAAAATGTTCCTGGAGCTTTAATTATCTGGCCTCTAGATGCATGAACGTATTAAAAAGGACCAGAATGTATAGAATTCAATGCAGTAGCTGTAGATCCACCAGTATGTGTGTGTGTGTGTGTGTGTGTGTGTGTGTATTATACACATGAGATATTTGGTTTGGCAGCTAAGTCCAGAACAGGATCTAATCCAAAGTTTTTCTTTTTTTTTCTCAGGCTTGATCAAGACGGCTTTGTACGGCATGGACCGAGAGGTTAAAGAAAACTACCAGGTGGTGATCCAAGCCAAAGACATGGCCGGACAGATGGGGGGCCTCTCAGGAACCACCACGGTCAGCATCACACTCTCCGATGTCAACGACAACCCACCACGCTTCACCAAGAGTGAGTACATTCACCTGAAGATGTCTTCCTTTCTCTGCAAATACACACAATCAGACTGACCAATCAGGTCAAGTGAATATTTTGTGTTTAAAA